AGTTCCTCCCGGGTAAACCACCGATCTTCTTTTGGATCCGTATGATGCCTGAATCTGACGCGGTACTCCCTCTTGGGTTTAGGAGGTCTTCCTCGACCCAATGGCTTTGCAACAGGCACGTCCCGGTGATCCACAATGTCATCGATGTCGGCTTGTCCATCCATGGTTGGGGGCAGCATCGATCTCCTGGAAGGGAATTGATCAGTCTCAGCGAAAGGTGCAAGCTTTGAGGCATGAAAGACTGGGTGAGTGCGTAGGTGTCCAGGCATACGAATGACATAAGTGGGACCATCCATCTCATCTCCCACTATATCTAGGACTTCCCAAGGACCAAAGTATTGGGGCATTAGTTTGCGAGAGGTTTTGAACTCCTGTCCTAGCTCGCTAGCCTTGACCCAGACACGTTCCCCTACCTGAAATGTGGACTATCGACGATGTTGATTCTCAGAAGCAATCATTGCTTGCTGAGCTTTCTTCATGTGTTTGATAGCATTCTGCAGCAACTTCTCATACTGCACACCGTACTCGAGTGTGCCTGGAGTTGCGGCGGTTCGGTTTTCAGGCAGGAGGAAGTCTAGTGCTGATCTAGGCTTCCATCCCAAGTGTAGCTGAGTAGGACTCACGCCGGTGTTGTTGTGTACAACATTGTTGTACAGGCTGGCGATGAGAGGCAATTGCTCATCCCAGTCATCCTGGTTGGGCTTGATGTAGTGCCTCAGCAAGTGCTGCACAACTCTGTTCATTTGCTCGGCCTGTCCGTTGGCTTCAGGATGGTTTCCTGAAGTCATTTGAAGTTGACTGCCCATYTGTTCYGCAGTCTTYTTCCACAGCTYACTRGTGAAACGGACATCTYTGTCACTRATGATAGTCTTTGGTAAACCAAAGTCCCTCACCCWGTTGTCCTTGAACARCTTGATGACRTAGTCAGTCCTGRCTGTCTCTGGCATGACCACTAGTCTAGCGTATTTGGAGAATCGGTCTATGATGACGAATATGTACCTCTTGCTGCTCTTGCTGGTCGCTAAGGTGTCCATGAAATCCATGGATACACTCAGTCCTGGACCAGCGGGGATTGGTAAAGGCTTCAGCAACCCAAGCGGTGCTTGAGTGCGCGGCTTGTCCCGCTGACAGACCTGACAAGTCTCTACGTACTTCTTTGCGTCATCAAGCATACCAGGCCACCAAAATCGYTGTACTAGGTTARCACTCGTCTTTTTGTAGCCAAAGTGTCCAGTTGYRTCATGACATTCWCCTAAGAACAAACTACGCAAACTCTCACTAGATGGAACTACCAACCTTTTTATTCCCGCCTTCTCAAGATAGATTAACCCGTCCACCATCACAAACTCACTTTTTGTGGCCTTGTCTTTCGCCTGAAGTTTGCGCATGATGTCCATCGTGACAGGGTCTTCCTGATAGGCTCCCACCAATGATTGAGTTACTTCGTTAGATACGCCAAAGTCAGAAACTAGCGCACCTAGGTAGTCTTTTCTTCGTGATAGCGCATCTGCAACCTTGTTGTACTCTCCCTTCAGGTACTCAAGCTTGAAGTCATATTGATCTATGACCTCAATCCATCGCTTGAGTGCATCAGAAAGAGCCGGTTGAGTCTTGATCCATTTGAGGGTCTGATGATCAGTCCTCAAGTAGAAGAACCTTCCTAATAGGAAGTGTCTCCAATGGACAAGTGCCTTGTAAAGAGCATAGAGTTCCCTTTCGTAGGTGGACTTAGCCAACTTCTTCAATGGCATCTTCTTACTCATGTACTCAATCGGTCTCAACTTGAGCCAGCACTGCGCCAATGCCGTACTGGCTTGCGTCAGTGGTCACTATGAATGGCTTTTGAGGATCGGGAACCATGAGAACCTCATGATTCATGAGTGCATGCTTCAATCTCTTGAAAGCACTGTTTATTGCTTGTTTTCACCTCTCCCTAAACACACTTATGTAGGTTGTACCTCTAAAACTATTTGTGACCGATGGGCTGAACATGTGGGTAGAACGGAACGTCAGCTGTCTCCTTCTGTTTCGAATCCTGTCCGGAGCCACAAATTATACAGATGGTTTAGAAGAGTAAGACTCTTCCATTATGTTGCAATCCCTCTTGTAGTTCAGGACTCCGACGATTTACTATCGGCAGAAAAATGCATCATCCGGAGGACGTCCCCCTACCTTAATTCTAGACAGGCTGCCTCACCAAAGAAGAAAAATAAAAAAAATAGACCAGGAAAGCGGGAAAGGGCAAGGAAAGCTCTGAAAGCGTCCCAAGAAGATAGTATTCAGAACCGACCTGTCTCCGACCGTCCTCACTATGCCAGGAGTCGTCTCACTTATTATGTTTCCTCGGTTGGTGTTAACTCGGTGTCCCTGATGAATGTGCTTAATGAATGTGCTTGTCTGCATATTTCCTCGTGTTCATTTATCAATCAGGGGGGCTCGTTTCTCGCTGATTACTTTCCTCACTCCAGTCCCACGGTGTGTCAAGTCAAGTTAGATCAGTCAAAGGAGAGGCGACTGTAGAATAGTTCTTTACGAAGTTCCTATAGTAGCCGCACATTCCTAAGAATGATCTGACCTCAGTGATTGTCTGAGGTTGTGGCCAGTCTCGAATACTAGCCACCTTCGCATCCTCCGGCCTAATCCCTTCCGTGGATACTTCATGACCCAAGCATAGTATCTTAGTGCGACCGAATTCACACTTTTCTAAGTTGACCTTATACTTGTGTTGTCGAAGGAGTGAAAGTACCGTCTCAACATGCTGTGCATGCTCCTCGGCTTACTAAAGATCAAAATGTCGTCTAGGTAGACCACGACAAACTTATCTAAATGGTCATGGAAGATCCGATTCATAGCGTGCTGGAATGTACCCGGCGCATTGCAAAGACCAAAGGGCATCACTACAAACTCACACAGACCATAACGCGTCTGAAAAGTTGTCTTGTGTTGGTCCTCAGGTCTTATTGCGTCTGATGATATCCGGATTTCAAGTTTATCTTGCTATAGTACTTGCATCCCTGCACCCTATCCAATAGGTCGTCTATGCGAGGTAGAGGCTCTGCGTTCTTCACAGTGATGGCATTGAGGCCTCTATAGTCAATGCACATCCTCAAAGTACCCCCCTTCTTCGATACGAATAACACGGGTGACCCGTAAGGGGAAGTACTAGGCCGAATCCAACCCTTCTCTGTCAGCTCCTTAAGTTGTTGCCGAAGTTCATCTAACTCGGCGGGGGCCATCCTATAGATCCTTCCCTTTGGGGTCTTACTCCCTGGAATGATTTCTATAGCGTGGATGACTTCCCTTTCCACAACTCCTGTGGGCTCTTCGAACAGATCAGGGAACTTAGCAACGACGCGTTCTATCTCTGGGGGTGTTTTAACGGCCTCCCCCTTCTCAGAGACATAAACAAGGTACATACCCTCCTCTTGGTTCTGCTTATAGTAGTTGTAGAACGCT